CCTCGTCGTCGTCGGCCTGATTGCTCTGTTTGTATTTGCGAAGCCAAACGACAACGTAACATTGAAGGAGACGCCCTCGAAGACTCGCTGATCTACTTAGACACGTGCCGTCCTGACAGTTTAAAGCAAGACAACGCAGCTGAAAGTGAGTTCGCCCACGGTGACGGGTCCACCGCTAAAACACTCGATGACACGTTGACTGTTTCGCACAAAGGTGTCGACAAGACCATCAAGTTTAAGTCGAGTACCAGCTCTGCCAGTGACTTCGGTTCCGGGCCCAACAGTACCCTCCAAATCCTGCTAAACAGTGAGGGCCTCATTGGAAAACGAATCCCCTACGACAGTCTCAGTTTCAAGAAATCTCTGTCGAAAGGAGCATGTGGAGAGGTGTGGCTGGGCGAGTACGAAGGCCAGCAAGTCGCCATCAAGCGATTGTTGCAAATCAAATCGCACCGCGCGGATGAAGTGGAGGAGTTTGCACGCGAGATTGAGCTTAGTGCCAGTTTGGTTCACCCCAACATCGTGTCGTTTATTGGTGTGGCGTGGAATAGTCTCAGCAACCTGGTGATGGCACTCGAGTTCTTCCCGATGGGAGACTTGCAGGAGTATCTGGCCAAGAATGGCGACTTGTTGTCTTGGCCTCGGGACAAAATCCAAATTGCTGTTGGTGTAGGACGTGCCCTCGAGTATTTGCACTGTCGGTCGCCTCCTCTGATCCATCGCGACCTCAAGTCAAAGAACATTCTGCTGACAAGTCGACTGGAGGCCAAACTTATCGACTTTGGTGTAAGTCGGGATCGACAGGAGTACTCGATGACTGCTGGAGTCGGCACGCCGTACTGGACAGCGCCTGAAGTCCTGGAAGGCAAGCGGTACACGGAGCAGGCGGACATCTACTCGTTCGGGGTGGTGCTGACGGAGCTGGACACCAGCAAGGTCCCGTATCACGACGCTTTGACAGCTGAAGGCAAGAAGCCAAAACCATTCCAGATTTTGACGGATGTTATGGCAGGTATGTTGCGTCCTAGTTTCTCTGAGAATTGCCCGTTAAGGATCCGCCGTATTGGTGTGGCCTGCTGCCAGCACGATCCGATTCGTCGACCGACGGCAGCTCAAGTTGCAGATATGTTGCAAGCAGCAGATTAGTGTTGCGGTCCTAAATGTGTGATCTTTGCTTTTACGGAGCTACACTTTTTCTCCGTTTTCCATTACAAGCTTATAAACCAATTCGCTTGCAGTCGGCCGCCTTAGAGGATCAAGCGCTAGATACGCCACTCTCCATTTCGGTCTAGCCTTCCAGCCAGCATATCTTGCAAAACCTTAAAATCATTCCGCCGTGTACTGCTACGGAGTATGAGCTTTCCCCGTGTCAAGTTCCGACAATACCACACCGAACGAGCACCTTTGTGCACTCAAATTCGTTCTAAACGGCAATCAAATCCGTGATGAGCAATTTAATTACGTAAATTTCTGAGTTTCATTACCAAATCTGTGACATTTCTATAGGTGACTTATAGGTAGATAAAGCTTGGGCTTAATACAAACTATAGGCTAGCTTTAGAAATGCAATGTCATCAACCTTTGGACGACCTTGGTACTTTGTACCAAATATCCCAAAGTATGACGTGTCATACTTCTAAAGTGTGACGTGTCACACTTCATGTAACTAGGGTACACTTGAGGTTACGTACCCCGTTACATCCTCCCCCACTTAAGTTCGGCTTACCGACCAATCAGAATGAAGAGGTGTTCGTCACAAACTTTCATTCTCAAAGTCGAAAACCATCGACTTGGCCGCGCGAGCGCGGCGGAGGCTCACTTCACAGTTAGAGCCTCGAGCAGCAGTCTGTGCGCTCTTCTTCTAGGTCTTCCACTTCGACCGTTAACCATGCCTCGTGGCACTGCTAAGAGCGGTGCGAAGACACGCTCCAAGCCTGCTGCCGGAAAGGCGCAAGCCAAGAGCACTAAGCCTCACGGCAAAGACTCGGCACTTGAGGAGGCTACTCAGGTGGCCTCCGACGCGATCGGTTCTTCGGGCGACAAGGCTGTGGGCAAGCGAACAAGCAAGCGCTACAGCCCGTCGCCCTCGGCCTCTCCAGACAATCGTCCGAACCCTCGGTTCGTAGAACGTGAGTTTGACTCTGGCAGTGAGGACGAAGCCGAGTCCGAGAGCACGCACGATGCTCCTGCGGGCTCTGCGGGAGGGAACAGCCCAGTGCCCAGCGAGCACAAGGACGACAGCGTGCAGTCGCTCGCTAGTGATCGAGGTAATCACAGTCCCAGGACGTCTGTGCGCTCTGAGAGTCCGGCCGTCAAGGCTAAGGGCACTCCCAAAGCTGGTGGCGATGAGAAAAAGAATCCTCGCAAACGTCTCTCGCTTGCCGAGGTCTTGCGCGTGATAAGGCCTCTAAAGCCGAAGGCGCCAAGCCCTCAAAGAAGCGTACGCCCTCTAAGTCCCCACTCCGCAAGGAGAAGGAGACTCGACGCTCCTATCAGAGTATCTTCGACTCCTCGGATGAAGAGGAGGAGAAGGAGGAGGAAGAGGAGGAGGAGGGTGCTATCTCTGAGCCCCGGGAGGTCACGAATGACCTCGACCAGCAGCAGAAGGACTTCCAAGCTGCCCAACGTGTGCGTGGGGGTTCGGTGGTGGCACCCTTCAGCCAGGGAGCTGTCATCAACTCTAGAGGGTATTGGCCTCCCGAGGAGAGCTCTGGGGCTGACCTCTTCCTAGAGCTTCTCGTCGCTCCTCGTGGCGTTGTGGGTGGCCACACCTCTAGGAGCATTTACGAATGTGCTCTTGTTCAGAAGGAACAGTTGTTCGTTGATAGATTGGAGGCTGCTCAGTGTGTGCTTCTCGCGCCACACCGCATCCACCTTAAGGACTTCATGACTTGTCGTAAGAAGCCCGAGACCCGGGGTGGTCTGTATCCTCTTTGGGGATACCCCTGGGTTCTGCTCGAGAACTGTCCCACCTGGAGTTCCTGTGAGGACATGTTCTGGGCATGGGTGGAGTCTCTTAAGTACTCACCCACGGAATTACGGGAACTCCATGAAGATCAGCTGCTGTCTCGCATCCTAGACCAGCGTGATCTTCGTGTTCGGTTTGCCCACTTGGTCAGCAAGCGCATGCTGCCAAGGGACATCCTGAAGCGTGCGGCTTCCAGAGCTCACGATGAGCGCGGGTACGGAGTGTATTCAACGTCCGTACACCGTTCGAGCAAGAAGCCCCAGACTACGTATGAAGCTGCCGCCGCTTCTGTTCCCAGATTGTGACAGCCTTCGGGCAGTCAATCAGGAGCCGTTCAATCGGCTCCCACGAGTTCTCGGAGTGGGCAAAACCCCTCCACTTCACGAGGAGCTGTCGCTTACCACGACGCCTTTGCTCCTGGAGAATCCGCTCCACATGGAAGTGGACTTCACCATTCCGGTCAAGAAGGGGCGGAGATGCCCTCGTACGAGTACGAGTACTCGGCGCCTCCCGAACGCCACTCTCGTCCGAGTGCTCCGGCTGCGAGTCCGACACAGGGCCCTGAGGCTGACCGCCTCCGTCAGCGTGTCCTCGTGCTTGAGATTGCACTTGACCTTGGGACTGGCGGTGATGCTGCCGCCCAGGCCGGGAATCAGGGCGATCTCGCTCGTCTTGCGGGCCGCCTGGACCTGCTGGAGCGTGAGGTCCCGAGCCTCCATCTGTGGGTGGATCCTCGGGCCTCTTCGACCGATCTGGACGAGGCCTTCCGCATGGTCCGACGGATCGAGGCTCTGTTGCCACGTCCGGAGCCGCCTTCGACGCACTCCTAGATGTACGCGTATGGTGCGTACCCGGCGTACTCAGCGTACTCGGCGTATGGCTCCGGGGTCCGTTCGTACGGAGCCCCTCCTGCGTACGGTCTTGACCGCAGCTTTGCCGTCCAGACCGAGGCTTGGGCGCCTGCTCCGACGCCCTCGTCGACGTCTGTGACCCGCCCTCGCTTTGAGGAGCTGGACCAAGGTGGGTCTGCGAGTCAGCAACCCCCTGCGGATCAAAGTACCGCTTAAGACGTCCAACATAGAACGTCGGGAGCATCGTCATTGACTTTGGCAGGTCGATGGTGTACGACACACCATGTCTGGCCAGGACTGTAAATGGTCCGATGAAGAGGTGCTTCAGCTTGTTGCTGCCGACAGAGCTGACAGTGTCAAGAGGTAGGTTCCTCGTGTCTAGTAACCCTAAGCCCCCCACTTTAAATACACTTAAGTTTCCTCTTCCATGTTTGTCGGAGTACTCCTTTTGTTTATCCTGGGCCGCTGCCATGGCATCGCGGACTCTGCTGACAACGCTCAGCTTAGTATTCATAAACGATTCCACTTGTCTCCGCAGCGAAACTGGTCTCACATCCGAGACCTGGGAGGAAAGGGCTTTCCAAGCCTCCCCCCACTTAGAATAGAAGAGTCAGTGTCTCCTCAAAGAGTGAGAGGCACTCTGGGGTGACGGAAGCCGTTCAAGTAGAACGGCGTGAACCCCGTGGACGCGTGCACCGCGTTGTTGAGCGCAAACTTAACAACTGGAAGCTGCATCGATCACGTACGTGGTGCTGCCGCGCACACACTGCGCAGAGTGTCCTCGAGCACTCGATTGACGCGCTCTGTCTGGCCGTCTGTCTGCGGATGGTCCGCAGTGGACATCTGCAGACGAGTTCCCAGTAAAGAAAACAGCGTTTTCCAAAACGCTGCCGTGAACCGCGGGTCTCGGTCCGAGACAATCGTCTCCGGGAGACCGTGATAGCGGAACACGCCATCGACGAACAACCTTGCGGTTTGTTCGCCCGTAACAGTGACGGGAACCGGAGCAAGATGTACCATCTTGCTCAGCCGACACACGAAGACCAAAATTCCGGTGTTGCCGTGTCCGTCGGCGGGAAGCCCAAAGATGAAGTCAAGACTCATCGACTTCCAACAGTCAGCCGGGAAGGGCAGGCTCTGTAGTGGAGCCGAAGAGTGTCCTGCGGGTTTGACCCGCTGACATGTTTCACATGTCTTCACGTATCGGGCGACCCACTTGTACATGTGGGTCCACCAGAAGGCCTGAGCGACCGACAGAAAGGTCTTCTTGCGGCCCAAGTGGCCGCTGGAGGGCGCGTCGTGCGCCTCCGCGAGGATGTCGAGCTTCAGATCCTCGTCATTGGATACGGCCACCCGTGGAGGTTTATTGGACTCCACCCGGTAATAGAGGAGGCCATCCTTCAGCTCATATCGGTGGAGCCGTGAGCGCTGTCGCGACGAGAGCCAGTCGGACTTCGCGCTCGTTCCTGCCGTGAGGAACTTGACGATAGGCGCGACAGCCTCATCGTCCCGATACGCCATGCGTATCCGATCATATAGTTCCGTTGTCACCCGTGTGATGTGGGCCAACACATAGTCAGGACGCCGAGAGAGGGCGTCCGCAAGCACGTTGAGCTTGTCCGGCTTGTATTCGACGCGGAGGTTGTACTCCGCGAGGAAGTACAGCCACCTCGCCATCCTTTGGGAGAGGTGAGGCGAGTTAGTCGCCGTCCTCAAGGACGCGTGGTCTGTGTAGATCACGAAGGGCCGGGAGCCCAGAAGGTGAACACGAAACTTCACAAAGGCATATTTCATTGCCAGGAGCTCCTTGTCGTGGACAGGGTAATTACGTTCGGCGGCTTCGAGCTGCCTGGACTGGAACGAGATGACTCGTTCGTGTCCAGCCGTGTCGGCCTGCTGCAATACACACCCGATGGCGTAATCGGAGGCATCGCAGACGACGCTAAACGGCTTCGTCTCGTCCGGCAGGGCCAGGACAGGGGCCTCTTGGAGACTGGCCTTGATGCTGTCAAAAGCATCCTAGTGCTCTTGCTCCCAGCGCCAGTCGACGTCCATCTGAAGGAGGCCCGACAAGGGCTTAGCGAAGCTCGCGTACCCTTCACTGTATTTGTGAAGGTAGTTGGCCAAGCCGAACCACTTTCGAAGATCCTTTTGGGATCGGGACGTTGGCCATGCTGCTATGGCCTTGCCCTTGTCTGGGTCAGGCCGAACGCCCACGTTGCTTACGAAGCAACCGAGAGCTTTAATCTCTGGTGACGCGAAAACGCTCTTGTCGATGTTTGCGTAGAGCTTGTTCTCTCGCATTACGTCCAACACTCGACGGAGGT